TTTGTGCTCCTAGCATTTCGTCAGCCAACTTCTGTTGCCCCGCGTGACATGCAAGAGACGCGTGAGGCGACGCTAACTGTACTTGTGCGCCCAATTTTCTTCCTTTTTACAAACTTGGATGAGTGGCGTCGTCTGGTGTCTCCGTTCGAACTATTGGCAAGATGTCGGTAGGGAAACCGCCACCTTAAGCCAGTTTCGCATGGGAGTGACGGAGATGAGTGGCAGCACAGTGTGCCGCTTTTGCGTGGTGCCCGCCGCTTTGATAGGCAGTGTTTCCCATGATTCCGAGTCGAAGCGAGCTCCTCTCTGCGCGTGCCAATTCTCTACTGTGCTCCTGCCATCACGTGCCACTACGTCACTGCTCCCCACCCGTTTGGTCAAACGCTCTTCTGCAAGTGAATTTTTCTAACTCTGGCAGTGTAGATTGCAGCGTCCAGCGGACTCTTTAGAAACCTGTATTTGGCTCGCGCGATGGCTGCCGTCCCTTTCTTGGGGCGAAATAGCTTCCATTGTGATTCTGTGTGGACTGTAGGCGACCTGCTGCACACAACTAGTTCAGGGTGATTGCTTGCCATACCGTGCTGCAGTGGAACGGAGCGAGTTCGTTGCAAACAAGGTTTAATTCACTTGTAAGCACATAACGAGAGCCTCTTAACCTGCAAAAAGGCCTAACCTGTCACCACGCCCCGCTGCAGTGGTCTAGTGGGTAAGGTACTCGGCTGCTGACCCGCAGGTCGCGGGATCGAATTTCTGCTGCGGCGACTGCATTTCTGATGGAGGCGAAAATGTTGTAGGCCTTTGTGCTCAGATTTGGGTGCATGTTTTAAAGAACCCCAGGTGGTCTATATTTTCGGAGCGCTCCACTACGGCGCCTCTCATAACCATATGGTGGTTTTGGTACGTTAAACCCCACATAACAATCATTAAACTGTCACCAGAGAGATTGTTAGCACTTTTTATATACGAACATACAGAAAGAAAAAAAGGTTTGGTCGCTGCGAGTGCATATACAGTCATCTACTGATATATCTGTGGTCGACATCAAGGTCCGCTGGCTATCGGGCTGTTGTGCAGGACAAAAGCGCTTTCTTTTTGTCCCAGTCGTATGTCTACACTAAAGTCTTCCAGCCACCTTGAAGAATCTTTCATCAATTGTTTATACTATTAATCTATTAGGGAACGGCGATATACCATTCGCTAATAGATTTCTCAGGTTTCGTTTGCCTGTGTGGAAACGACACATGATGGCTCTGTTGACTTGTGGATGTTGGTCACCACATTCCCTACGAAGGTCTTCCTTGTTCGGAGCTCTGTTTATGTATTTGGAAACGAGATCTAGAATAGGGAAATCTTTTAGCTGGTCCTTTTACCAAGCACATACGAGTAGTTTTGCCATTTTTAAGTGACTTGGACATTGTCGAACTTGTGCACCGAACTTCCCAGGCATTTAGTGACCACAGGAAAATTTTAATCAAGGTCGATCATTTCCATCCAGGAGAGTAGAGATCGACAGCATTCGTTCTTTTTCATCTGATTTCTCTCGAACTGCTGTAGTGTGTGTTCGCTGCCCAACACAGTTTCTTCATAAGTTCTGACAGGAAGACTTACGGCATCTGTGGAAGCCTCCCCTCTTCTATGTGCAATCGAAGCACGTTGATTGTGGAACAGTGAATGGAAGCAGTCCTTGCACAGCCCATCATAGTTTGGTGTGCACTGCTTTTAGATTTTTTCATTTGTTGCAAACACTTTTCATGTTTTCTGTCACAAAATACTAGTCGGAGCCAATAAGCAGCGATACAGAATTTCTGTTCTCTCCCTCTAAACAAATGCTCAATTATTCATTCCACTTTCTTTCATCTTCTTTACTTCTTCCCTCAAAATGTAAATGTGCTCTCCACAAATAGCTGCACACTTCCAGAGTTTCGATTTCAACGGCTTTGTCAGTCTCTTGTGTATAAAGGAGCACGTGGACTCTTCTCGTTTTCTGCATCTTTTGTTCTCCGAACAGTACAACCAGAACAGATGCAAGAACTGACAGCCAAGTTGACGAAATGGTTCCATGGTGACGAAGCTCCACCGACTTCCTCCTTCGAAAGAGCACCCTGTAGTTCTTTGACGACATCGTTCCTTTTATTCTAGCCATGCAGAACTGCAGTAGTATTAGAGAAGGTTAATTGCAATCAAAGAAGTTTCGTTTCCCTTCTTTTAGAAGTCCGGGCGGCACATACTGTATTTACTCTCGTAATCCTCGCACTCGCATAATTCTCGCACACGCACGATTTTTTTTTTCCTCGAGTAATTATTGCACCCCCGAAAATTGCCGCAATAATGTCGTCTGCTCGTTCCAGCCATTGATGATGATAGCGTGCACCATCTGGCGCGATCTCTTAAGCATCAAGCGTACTATTATTGCACAGAGATTCAATCCAAGCCGAACCAAAGCGGCAAGTGCACATTGCAGTGTGTTTTGTATATTGTGTCGGTAATCTTGTCGCGTTTTGGGGCGATACTGAAGTTACATGGCTGCTTTCAAGTTATAAGTTATTGATCGTGTACTAAACAACGGCAACAGGGCCGCTGGTAGGCTCTTCAGAGTGGACAACTTTGGTGTTCACTACTGGTGACGGCAGCTGAAAGCCACCAAGACGCGTTGGGCCTGCCGTGTGCATAAGACTGGGATTGATGGTAAACTTTATTTCTTAAGGAAACTGCGGATGACAACATTCAACCATGTGTTGTGGGAATGTGAAGCCATCGGCCCCGCCTTTAGCAAGGACAGGTGCGCTGCGCTCTTACGCAGTCGCGAACTTAAGGATCACACCCTGGCCGTCCACAGTGCTCGTAAACGGGCCGCCAAGCTCAGCTTGACGGTCCCTACGTGGGATTAGTTGGGTGGCGCGGGGTCTCCCCTGCGTCTTTTCAGGAACAAAATAAAGTTTTAATCAATCAATTCTATTAAATAGCCATCAGCTCAGTACTAACATCCTACTCTTACCTTTTGAGGGCTCCTGTTGAGTGACGAACGCTACCGCTACGCCCGCAACGCCCAAAAGCTTTGCGTATGGTATTCTAGTTCTCGACTATTTGCTTGCACTTTTTGTGTTTCAAATAAATCTTGCCTTGTGTTAAACCTGTGCTTTTATTGTTGAAGTAAGTTTTAAATAGTACTTCTCAAAGCTTGCTGTTAGTTGCTGGTGTGAGAATCTCGATTTGTGGCCTTGTTCTTATTTTTTTTATTCTGTACGAGTTCGTGAAAAGTTTTCCCCGTGTAATTCTCGCACCCCCCAAATTTGTATCAATTTTCCGTTAAAAATAAGTGTGCAGATTGTGCAAGTAAATACGGTAGATGTGAAGTGTTGTCTAGAGCGTCTATAGCACTTATTTTCCTCGGCAGTCCCTTGCCATATGGCCCTGTTTAAGACACCAAAAAAATCGCCTGTCCTTGGTGAGAATCTGCTTCTTGTCTGTGAAATTAATTTCGTCGTTGCAGACTTCGGCATGATTCTTCGTTGACTTGCAAAACAGACATGGACCAGGCTTCTCACAAGATACTGTCACACACAATAGAATAAGTACACTTTAATTCAGTACTTTAAATGGCACGAACTTGTGTCCTATAAACAAGCAAGCTAGAGAAAAAAAAATGCTGCCCGCATCTTCCCACCGGGGGAACTCAAGCAAATGCTTCGCAGAGTAGCGGGGTTATCACGTGAATGTTGCGTAATGGTGTATGGTTCAGGAATGCTTAATTGTTATTTTGTCTTTATTAATTTTATTTATTGAATTTAGGAGAAGTGTTGCCTTCAAAATCAAACACAAGCCAAGTAAAAGCACCCTTGACCGAATTCCTAACATGCGATCCAGTGCTTGCAGATACGGGATGGCCAGTGAACAGTTGTGTAGCGCGAGCGGTCGCTTTTTTTTACTAGCAGAAGCTGCCTGTGTCGGCCTTGCAAGGCAAGAGAGTGGGAGGAGAGAGACAGTTTTGTGGGTGTCTTCTTGGGCTGGCAGGAGACGGGTCATGCACAGTAGGGGGTGTGGATAGTGCCACCGCCGACTCCGAATCGCGACATCATGTGGTTAAAAAATATGTAAAAAATTTTTGTTCTCTGCAAGAGCACCTCTGCTTCTTGACATTCCGTACTTTGTCCCTCGCAAAGGTCGCGCGTGCTTCAGTTGTGAGCGTTGATCCTGACATACTCCGCCAGTGCTCCACGATGTCGGACGCACGTACTTTGTATCTTCTACCAAGACTGCATCGTCCCGATGCTTGTATTTCCTGTGATTGCCGATGGAAGCATCCAGCAGTCATGTTTGATTGTCTTTCGTAGTATGGCTTCATATGGGAACGTCAAGTGACCTGTCGAATATTGTGCCGCCTTCACCAAAGTGATTGCTTCACGGCACTTTGGGGTTTAGTCATATTGACTATGAAGAAGGTCCACCTAATTTAATGAACATTGTATATTGTTTTCTTTTGACGACAGCCTAAACAAGTTGCATGCACAAACGTAGCCAAGTTCACTGAAGGGGATATAGGACAGAGTTTTCGTGTGCACTTTTTAAATTTCATTGTGGTGTGAACCAACTGCATTGTAAAATAAACAGCTCATGTAAAAGATATCTCCAAGGCGGGTGTGCCATATTTCACTATGGTTAATGCACTCAAATCTTATTCTTGACACACTCTTGACTATGTACTAGCTGTGTTAGACACAGCAATTGGTACGTCTTTTTGACAGTTTCAGTATAAAGTCTCCTTCGACTGGTTTTGTATTCACAAATACATCCTAGTGAATTTTTAATTGGAATGTGTCCTGCTTGTTGTAATTTGCAGTAGTGTATATATAACAAGTGTATATGTATTATTTCGCGAGCACATTATTCTGGATGGTGAGGCAGTGTTCCAGCTTCGCCGAATTTGTGTCGATTGCACACTAGTGACTCCTGTAGCTTTATAAATTTATTTTTTGTTAACCCGCACGTTTTGCTTCTGGCAGGGTGGCAACAAGCTGCCGCAGAGGCGTCACTGAGACCAGAGTTTACTTTGAGCACAAGCAGTGACTGCAAGGTACACACTGTTTGCTATATAATCTGTTAACTGCAGCATATTAAACTACAGACTGTCCCTGTTTTCTTTGAACATTGCCCTCCTGACTGGGGACGTATTCTGAAATGATTGCGAGAGGCAACAGTCGCACACTTGCATTTCGTGCGCGCAGATTGGCAGTTGCGCAATACTGGAAAAGTGCAGGTGCCATCGAGTATTTCCCTTGACGTGACACAACTCTACAGAGCTTCTGACATGCCCAGAGTAAAAGAGCACAGCTTAGCACTGTCAATTGGCGCTAAGGTCTAGCACATAGACGATAGTTTCTAGTTTTCAATGGTGGAATACAAAGTATTTTTTTCGCTGAAGCTTTCACCTTGAGGCGTTCTGAGTACTCGTTCTTTTGCCAGCACATGTTTTTTGTGGTTTGAGTGCGTCAGAAAGATGAACCGTACATTGCTCACGGGATTTATTAAGTGCTGGCGACATGTTGAGATGTTGAAGCGATGTTGCTACATCAGTGCACTACAGCCTAACTCTGGCTACACCAAGTTAAACTGTCAACAAAAAGATGTTTGACCCATACTGTACTTTCAACAATAGCACAAAACTTGTTCGAAGCACTTTCAACACATTTTATATTTCGAATAGCCAGAGTGAAGCCTACGTAGATCGAAAATGCCTTACCCGGGTCACTATGCGTTCGTACAGTACGCCCACTCTCGTGCTGTCAGTCATTAGTAAACCAATGGTGAGTGCAAGGAAGACGTTGCTCTGGCTGGTTATAGAACACACCTCGCCAAAAATGATGCTGTCGCTTTTCATGATCCTTTCAGAATACAGGCCCAATAGCGGCTGAGGCTGTCATGCTCGTATCTCTTAGCTTATCACACGTGAAATTGGAATTTTTGTATACACTGAAAATATCATGATTGCTTGTTAGGTTTGCAGCTTGGGCGAGTTGGTTCATGCCTATAAGAGGGACAACGCAGCACAAAATTCAAGCATACGCATGATGAAGAAGACACGACATGAGCAATGTTTGAATTTTGCACCGTTTTTACTCTTCGAATTATGATTGCATTGTGGCACTATTCACTGTGAAAAAGCCACTTTGGTGTCCACATTTTCAAAGCAACCCATTGAATTCCTTCATGTTATAGTTAGCCTTCAAAGCTATAGGACTAGGCTTGTGCCAATTATGAATCTTAGGTTCGAAGTGAATAGTGACTTGGTACAAAGAACTTTGAATCGAATTAGAGTAGTATGTATTGCACATTATAAAGGAAAATGAGCATATTTCTCATGACTCAGCTAACCGACTCAAATACATTTTTTATTAAATTGTCGCATGGAATGTGCCTATGTCATTGTTTTCGATTCAAAAGCCATGGAGGTAACTTGGAATTGTAGGAAGATTTGACTTTTGGATAAATAGGCTGACAAACTGTGAAATATGTTAGGTTTCAAAATTTACTATACGTATAGCATATGAGCTAGAATAACAAGCTTTTCAAATTGAATAAGGAAGAATTGATGTCACGATATTATGTTGATTTAACCTTGAAAGGAGGTTTTGCAACAATGCAGATTTTTTTTAAAAGGTGTAACTGAATTAAAGAGTAGTACAGCCTTATGGGCTCACGGACATGTGACATAAAATGCAGTTCACTGTCTAGGCGGCAGTTACCATGAATGTTGATGGGGGGATGTGGGGCACATTACCAGCTTTTTCATATCTTCCGGCGCCGCTGACATTTATTCTGCATGCACTCGACGACCTTGAGTCTTCACCCCACCAATTCGTCGTAAAATTGAAGGATGGACTAGCCGCCCGCGGATCACGCAGGAAGGGGCAATACTAGACCCACGGAGTCATCACACTGTCCACCAGGGGAAAGAGTGGGTGTGTGGAGTGTATTATTAGTAATAGCATGGCTGCTTAAACTACGACAATGTTTGAGGTACTCTTTTGACATGTCATCTCTTCTTACCCCGTTATGCTTTTTCTTTTCTTTTTTTCTCGTTCATCTTTTCCTGTGCTCTCCCCTCCTGTCTTAGCATGCGATATGAGGACACGGAAGTGATGTAAATATTGTTATGCCTTGAAAGAGACGGGGTTCCAGTCAAAACATCGGCAAAGGAAAAGTTATGTGAAGGTGTGAAGGTGCATCAGTTTTATACTTATAACCTTGCGGCAACCAGCTATTCTTTAGCATATATGCCTTTTTATATATATATATATATATATATATATATATATATATATATATATAAGTATATATATATATATATATAATATGTATATATATATATATATATATATAATATGTATATATATATATATACATATTATATATATATATAGAAGCGTTTATTCTGCGATGTCTGGCTCCGCTCAGAACCACACCAAGAGAGAGGACGATGATGATGGGTATGTGTAAGTGAGAACGATGATGATGGGTATGTGCAAGTGAGAACGATCAAATGCTTGGAATGTGCTTACAATTTATATAATATGTATAGCAGCCGCGTCAGCAGCACGGGTAAGTGAGCTCTGCACATATCTACCTATAACTTTAGCAATTTTGGTTCTAGGAGGGTCAGAGTGGTGACTATTTGTTCGTGAAGATACAAGGAGTTCAATCGCTACAAATACTGCTATTACAAACGAAAATTTTAAATTTTAGGAGCGGAAAACAGTGTGAATCTGTGAAAACAACAGTCGGACCACGTGTTTTTTACGATCGCTTGTAGCTTCGTTAATATTCTACCGGGAAACTTCTTACTTATGAAGTTGAAAGACCTTAGGGTAGACCTGACGCTACTGAAGTTTGATCAGGCTAGGTTTAATAGTTCCAGAGTTATTCCGCAATCAAAATTAAGCCTAATCACTAAAAAGATTAAATTGGTAATGTCACCTCGCGAATGCATTTAAATTTTGTCCGCTAAATATAATAATAAACCGCACCCCATAGGCTACCAGGAGGCCCAATTCTGTACACTCTAGGCCCTTAATTGAGGTGGTAATCAGCAAAAAGCTCATTTCATTAAAACAAGTTTTCAAAAGGAGCTGCAAACGCCACCGAAAAATAGCTAATATCTTCTTTTAGAACACAACAGTCCGGTTTTTTTCGTGTAAAAATTTTGATAGCTTAAGGTAACCGGAAGATGCAGAGTTAGGATATAACGATACAGAGTAAAAATATAACGAGAACCGCTAATAAACGTGTGGCGCCCGCGTCTTCCCTCGCTCAGAGGAGAAGGGTGGCTCACTGCTCGGGTGAAAGGTACGCCCGTCAGATCAGTCTTGAACCACGTGTTTTTTTTTTTTTTTCTTATGATCGTTTTTAACTTTGCTAATAACCTACTGGGAAACTTCTAACTCATGCAGTGCAAAGCCCTAGTTGTAGACCTGTCGCCGCTCAGGTTTCATCAGGACAGAAGTAATAGTACCGGAACTATTTCGTGACCAAAATTAAGCCTAATCACTAAAAAGATTAATTTGGTAACATCACCTCACAAACGAATTTAAATTTTGTCCGCTTAATATATTAATAAACAGCACCCCATAGGCTAATTGGAGGCCCAACTCCGTACTCTCTAGACCCTTAATTAAGGGGGTGATCAGCAGAAATCTCATTTCATTAAAACATTTTTATAAAATAACCACGAACTTGACTGATACACCGCTGAAAAATACATTTAGAACATAACAATCCGGGTGCGGCGATGGCGTAGTGGTTAGAGCATCCGCCTTGCATGCAAGAGGTCCGTGGCTCAAATCCCGGTGCCACGCAGTTCCCAACCGTAAAAAAAAAAAAAATCCGCGTGTTGATGGAACTGCATTAAGAGGCCTGGGGTGCGGCCTCACCGGTAACCACCGCCGGGAATGCACTCCCTCACCAGAGAAGGATTGGCCATCCTGGTGCAGTATCTGGCCACTACCTCCCACATGCATACGTCAAATAACTCACGGCCCTCAGTCCCCAGCAGCTGCGAAGCAACTGATTATGGCGGCAGTCAGATCTGCAACGCAGCAGAGGGTGCTAAGAATCTCTGGACCACAGGCCGCCTTTGGAACCTGAACTTTGCAACGTTTAACGCTAGAACCTTATCTAGTGAAGGAAGTCTAGCTGTACTGTTTGAGGAGCAAGAGGGTGTTAAATGGGATATAATAGGGCTCAGTGAGGTTAGGAGGACAGATGAGGCCTATACGGTGCTACAGAATGGGCATGTCCTTTGCTATCAGGGATTGGCTGACAGAAGAGAACTGGGAGTGGGGTTCCTAATTCACAGAAATATACCTGGCAACATAGAGGAATAGTATAGCATTAATGAAAGGGTGGTAGGTATTGTAAATAAACTGAATAAAAGATACAAGATGAAGGTAGTACAGGCTTACGCGCCTACATCCAGCCATGATGACGCTTCAGTTGAAAGCTTCTATGAAGATGTGGAATCTGCACTGAGTAAGGTAAAAACACAGTATACTATAGTGATGGGCGACTTTAATGCAAAGGTAGGGAAGAAGCAGGCTGGAGACCAGGCAGTAGGAGATTATGGCATCGGTGAGGAGAGCTACCAGTAGAATTCGCAGAACGCAATAATTTACGGATTACGAATACCTTCCACCGAAAATGAGGAAACCGTAAGTGGACATGGAGGAGCCCTAATGGCGAAAATAAGAACGAAATAGACTTTATAATGACTGCACACCCAGGAATGGTGCAGGATGTGGAAGTGGTTGGCAAGGTACGATGCAGTGACCATAGAATGGTACGGTCTCGAATTCGCCTAGACTTGAAGAAGAAACGAGAGAAACTGATACGCAAGAAGCCAATCAATGAGCTAGCACTGAGAGGGAAAGTACAGGTATTCAGAGTGTCGCTGCAGAACAGGTACTCGGCTCTTAGTGAGGAAACCAACGTTAGCGTAGATACAATGAATGATAATCTGACGAATATCATTACGAAGTGTGCAGTGGAAGTTGGAAGTAGGGTAGTTAGACAGGACACTGG